TGTCAAATAACAGGGATATTTGACACTCCTATTTACTGGCTGTCACGATAACTAGTTTTTGATTAGTCTAGTCGCATAAATTTGTTAGGATTAGCAGCATAAGTGGCTATTAAATATTATTACTATTATTATAATCTTTGGCACTGTAAAAATAATCTTTGCCAACTTGATATACTGGGGAAAAGATAGTGACAAGAATTCTTGGTTAGTTAAGTTAATTTATATCGAATGGCGGGATTGACAGAGAGGTGGAACAGACGAAGTCACGGGATTTGGAGAAGGGAAGACAGAACAGTGATTCACAAATGTAAAAATGGGCTGACACAGTGGGCTGTATGAGTGGTTCAGATACTTTACCACTTTCTCCGATGTACCTTAGGGCACCGAATAAAGTGGATATGATATCACCCATGAATTTTATAAAATCACAATGTGAATTCGGCCTTTTCAAACCTTATTGAATTCGAAAATTTTTCCCTTGGTTCAAAAACATTTCCAATTTTTCCGTTGTAATTTAGGAGATAATGAAAAATTGGTATAATTTGATTAACTAACGCCAATTGTTGCACTTAGAATACTTCCAGCCAAATGCTTGATTATAGCTTCTGGGAGTATTAAGGAAAGCGTTTTCCAACTACCACAAAGCCACCAAGGTGACAAATTTGAATTCCCCAAATATCTTCATCAGCGAGATTTACCCACTAGCCATTGGATTCAATTGACTCAAACTGATGGATATCAAGTCCGTGACTTCCAGATTCGTAGATGTGTAAGCAGAACACTATGCCAGCAGTACTGATTGAAAATATCGAACTGTGAGGATAACTGAGGTACTAAAATCATTCCAGATAAACGTTTGGTCCCATAAGAAAGTACAAATAAGCATAGCAACAGCTAATCAAATTAACACATACTAATGCGTCAAAGTGCGAAATAATATTCACAAATGCACACAATGCTACTTTAGCTGAATAAAGGTGCTAGCATCAAGCAATTTAACTTAGCACGTGACCAAAATGAAATGCTGCGCTGGTTTTGAGAAGCAATTTAACTGGACCAATTAAATTCAGCTCATTGATCAGTACAATATATATTTATTTATGTCAAATGGCAGGCTTTATGATAGTTATCATTAGCCCTGGAAGCGTTTTGATGGTTATCATTAGCCCTTTATTTGACTTCTGGTGGCTTCACAGAGGGGAGGAACATCAAAGTGAGAAAAATTCAAGAGGGGGAACTCACAGAGGGGAGGAACATCAAAGTGAGAAAAATTCGAGACGAAGGAGCAGAAGAGTAAGTGACAGATGTAAAAGAGAAAGACGGACACAAAGGCAGAGAAAAGGTAATATGAATATTGTGGAAGTGGCAGAATATGACATACAGTGGGGTGATTGTAGTTTGAAGTCAGAAGTCAACTGTCAGTTAATAGACTTTTTTGCCGTGTGAGTATACCTTGCTCAGGGTGCTCCACATGGAGGTAAGTCTATCGCGCACCCCATCAGTACAATACAATCAAGCTCAGAGGCTCAAATTCAAACAATTACGGAATTAGTTCAATATTTGGCTGGTCTCATGTATGCTAACTCAATTTCAACAACAGTACACATTGCGCATTTGGAGGGCCTAGTAACTTCTATCCATCTATTACCTAAACGAATTCCTTCTTTCCGTCAAGGTTAACTACCATCATTCAAATGAAGGTCGATTTTAAAATCGCCTTTTCAATTTGAGGTGAACCTAAAAGCATACTTTCTGCCTAACGTATAAATTAATTATCTACCTTCTAACATTCTCTTCAAGGTCAGTCCTCAATGCTCAAATTTTTAACTTCGTTAAGGTTATTAGAAGTACATTAATATTAACGAAGTTACTGCGGAGTTTATGATGAATTTACAGCTATTAATGCCTGTGGAGGCGTTTTACAAAGGAATTTCACATTTGAGTCTTTATTAAATTATGCTTACTTCAGGAAAGTGAAAGAAAATTCCGTTATTCCGTGGGTCAATTTTTTCTCTGTCTTTAGCTAGAATGTGAATGTGAAACTGAAAGTGATCTTTATTTAATAATTACTTACAGTATGTTAAACTCATCTAAAAAAGTGTTCATTAATGTAAGAATTTGGAAAGCATTCAGTGAAGGTGGCATTTTAAAGCAGCGTGCGTGGAATTTAAACTACTGTGTACTTCCTATAGAAAAGTACATTGTTAATAGAACATCTCCTTCCGATTTCAAGGAAATAGAAGTGATTTGTGACCAATAACATATGTGTGGATGCAATTCCTCGAACACGATTGATGTGTATCTTCAAATACATGCCTTTTAATTGACTTCAAATTACCATTTTCAAAGTGTTTAAACTCGTATGTTCTGGTCCATGGAATAACTAACATTTTCAATTAGCGCTCTACTTCGATTTGAAATTTGAGTATGAAAAATTAGGATTGTAATACACAAGTCCTTTGAAAGAAGGACATTTTCCTAGATTAATTAACATTCAATAGAAGATGTTTACTACAACTTATCTGAAAATGATTAATTTCATAAGGTTGGAAATGGAGTGGGTGGGTGGGTGATTAGGTGAAGTAGTTATCGTTTGAAGAAGTGTAATTGATTGAGTAAAGCACATTTTTCGTCACCTACTGAAATGAACGAAGGTGAAGGTGTTACATTTTGCGAACAATTTGCTCTCTGTGTTTCCATTTAGGGGCCATTTTAGCCATTAAGCTTAAAAGTGGAGTCCATAGCATTTTCGTCGAGGAACATCGAAGATTTCTTTCATGTTGTCATCTTTGCAGAGACAGGAATGACAGCCAGGCACATCTATTCTTTAATTCCTAATAGAGCGATGCATAATGCCATTTATACAATGACAACGCAACCCATTCATTTCCCTTATCTCCCATAGGCCTTTAAGAGCATCATTTCTATGAAATCACGTGATTTCCTATTAAATAAGTAAATAAAATAAATTAATAATTAAAAGAAAATAATAATTTGCATGCTACTTTAGACACTAATAATACTCCAAAATGAAAGTTATATTTCTTAACTTTCGTATTCCACCAATGTTGTGTAATTATTGAATTATAGAAAGCCCAGTCGAACACCTTCATTATACTGGGGATCAATTTGGTCTATCAAACATGTGCATTACCCCACTGTCACCGGGATGTGCCAATTGTCTTGAACAGGGCCGAAAGTAATCTGGAGTTCCTCTAATTCGGAAATATGTTTTCTGGAGAATATCACTTGGGCAAAGTGATATTTTGAGACATGAATCTACAAATTTATGGAAATTAATGTTCTTTTTTAATAATTATGGCCAACTCTTATGGTTGATGTTGTCATAGATTTCTTCGCTAAAAAATTTCATAATTCCTTTGATTGATAAATTTTTCCAATGCGATTCTTGGACTGCTAAAATAAACTGGAAACTTTCTTGACTTTCAGTCTGAGTTATATTAAAGCCATTGGGTATGGGATAGACTTACCTCCTCGTGGTGCACCCTGGGCAACGAATACTCACACGGCAAAAATGTCTATTAACCGGCAGTTGACTTCTGAGTTCAAACTATCATGACCCCAACTGTGTGTCATATTCAACCACTTCCACAGTACTCACCTCACCTTTCGTCTCTTTTAAGTCTTTGAAACACTCGACTTTTTTCACTTTGATGTTCCTTCCCCTCTGTAAAGTCTCAAATCAACTAAAGGACGAATGATAACTATCATGAAGCCTGCCATTTGATATAAATATTAAAGCCATAACAGCGCATGATAAAAAAAATTGACTGTTGACTTTCCCGATAACTTAGTGCACCCCATTCGTCGCTTTATCATGAAAAAACTAGTTCAATTTTCTGACTGCGTGAGAAAATTAGTTACGGTTTTTAACATGTCTTCTTGCCTTAGAAAGATATATCCGGAGTTGTTGATCGAGTTAAGCATTGTCCATAATTGAGGTAATCATGTTTGACAACACACCAGTGTACTTCCAGAGATGTTTACTCACCAAACGCTCTGGTCGACCTCGTGCGTAGCTTGAATTCATTTGTCTTTTCTCTATGTCGAAAAAAAACCATTTTTGGACCAACCTTCAAGATATTTTCGCACTATTAAACCGCTGGCAATCAAAAGCGATTGGTTCTTTTTTGCAGAATTATTAATAATTTTAATTGTTTTATAACAGAGATTTCGTCCAGGTAGCGAAACAATTGTATGCATTGAAATAAAGATGAATAATCGTTTAATTTGCAGCCCACATTAGAAGACCTCTTGCAACGTGTTGCAATGCAAGTACAAGACAGACCATGCAAGAATGAAAATTGGTTGTACAAATTAGGTGCTCAGATCGATAAATTTTTGTTTAATTAATCATTAAATAGACGATAGAATGCAGGCGTTGCTATACAAGATATTTCCGAAGGAATATTTTAAGGTTACATTCTTTGATGAGCCTGTGAAATAGCAGGTGTTAGAAGACTCATTTATTCTGGAACACTCCAGGTTGAAAAATTCCAGTTAAGATTCTCAGCTATGATCTTACTAGTAACCAAAAATTGACTCAAAAATTACATAAATAAATAATTAATTAATACTTAAATCATACAAATAAGTAACATCAAACTGTCACCTAAATGATTTTTTGGATGCAAATTACTCTTTTGCTATTCAACATCTACATTTACTATAAGTCCTTAATTCTCACACCATTTGAAGCGGTACATTCCCCTAAATGCTCATTAAAGGTTGAAAATATTCCAATGTTACCGGAAGCACTGTAGGGTGCCTTGAAATCATGATACTTTGGTCATCTTCTTAACAAAGTTCAGTATATCCAACAACGAATACCACTTTATAATAACGTTGAAGAGATTAACTGCGTGTCAAAGTTAGCATTGATTTAAATTAATAGGAAATTAAAAGATATATGTATATAAATATTCACAACTAAAGCGTTTCTTATATTGAAGCATATACTTTAAGTGTCGTGCACAAAGCTATGCCTCTCCCCTTCCAAAGTTCGAATTAGCATTAAAATCGGATTGACGCAACGGTGATCTTGACACTTTTTCGACTGAAGGCCGGTTAGTTTCAGCGCTAAAAAGCTGGCCAGGATCTACGTAACACATGTTGAGAAATCGTTGAGCTGAGTTGATTTGCCTTTTGAGGCTAAACAGAGTTGAGAAAGCTGTGACCGAGTTATTACGGCTGACCTTTTGAGGCAGGGGTATCTTCTCACCTTTGACTCGTATGACGCTCTCCTCTTTGGTTCGAAAACTCTGGAAAACTGTCGAATGAAGTTTGACGAAAAATTTGTATACACACATTATATAACCGCGTTCTCCTGGAGAATGTTTAACCCCATAACTTCCCGAAGCACTCACCAGAGAACTAACCACGAACGGTCTGATTGGAATACACGTTGTGAAGTTCGACCAAGCTGTGGGAAAATCATCCAATATAACGACATATGACCAAGCATGCGGTCTCAAACGTTTAGTCTTAACTAATCCCTTGTTACTCATATTTTGTGGTAAATGGGCAAAGAACGCTTCTCTCTTATTTGCAAAACCAGCAAGAATATCCTCCCTACAAAGAACTCTCCCATTGAATAACCGTCCATCAGGATCTAGCTTGAGGCGGAGGATATCTTCTGTTCTATCTCTTGTGGAATAAGTAACTAGACAAAGTTCATAAAATTGTTGAAGTTTCCGAAGCATGTAAAGTATTCTTGGACGAAGAACTAATTGTCGTTTTCCTTCAGTTTCTGTTAATAAGGTCTCGTCCATATCGCAAGCTAAAATAAGCTTTTGGTTGTTTCGACACCAATCTCCCGTGAGGTGAGATGCTGTTCTTAAAAAGTTTGGATTCAATTGAATTGGTGTATAGGGCGACAGATTCATAATTATCGTTAAAATTTTTGGTTAACATGTAAATAAAATTTCCTTCTTCAAGTTAAGGAGATGAAACACGAGTCCAAGGCGAGAAACCTGGGTCAACGTGTCGGTTAAAGTTGTCACGCATATCGATTTCTTTCACATGGCATAAGAGATAGTAAATATCACTACTAAAATTGGATCGATTTCCGGCAATTGCGACCAAATCTTTTTTCCGACTCTCATCACACTTTTTAGAAAAGACTTTTTTCATATAAATTTCCCATTTTAAAGTTCTTCAATGAGAAAAGGACCACCTACAGTAAAATAGTGTCAAATATTAGGTTGGCAACTAAGTCATTGCCGATTTCAAATAAGAAGGCAAATTCGGAAATTTTGTTTAAAAATATAACTTTTTTCAATTAGATATTGGCCGTTCTTGTCGATGACCTTTTTCCATCGTTCTGGCAGAGTAAAAATTCCCTGTTCGTAAAATGTCTGGTCTTTGCTATTAAAAAACTGAATTAGGTGTGATCCGACATCATCCGCGTTGTTACAAATTTTACCATTTAAAGAGTTTTGCATGGAACGAAACAAATGGTAATCCGAAGGCGCAAGGTCAGGGCTATATGGTGAGTGTGACAAAACATCCCAACCCAGTTCCAATAATTTTTGCCGAGTAACCAAAGATGTGTGGGGCCTTGCGTTATCAAAGATGTGTGGAAAACAACACCCTTCCGATTTGATAATGGCGGCCGCTTATCTTCAATTGCATCCTTCAGTTTTTCGAGTTCTTCAACATACACATTTGAATTTATCGTTTGGTTCTGCGCCTCAATAGTTCAAAATACAAAATTCCTTTGTGATCCCACCAGACTGACAGCATAATCTTTTTTTGGTGAATCTCTGCTTTTGATACTGTTTGGGCTGGTTGATCTTGCTTCACCCATGATCTCTTGCGAGTAACATTGTTATAAACTATCCACTTTTCGTCGCCAGTAACTAGGTTCTTCAGAAATGGATCATTCTCATTGCGTTTCAGTAGCGGCGAATCACAGATGCTAATCCGTTGCGTCAAATGAATTTCCTTTAACTGGTGAGGTATCCATAAATCAAGTTTCTTGACATAACCAAGGGTTTTTTATTTTTTCAATGCATGTATGCGACACATTGAGCTTCTCTGCAATATCTCGTGTTGTGCTGTGACGATTTGAATCGACGATAATGGCCTTGATATGGGTTTCATCCACTTCGACTGGGTGGCCAGATCGTTGTGAATTTTTCAGTGGAAAATTACCGGAACGAAATCTTTCAAACCAATTTCGACACTGCCTTTCTTTTAAGGCTTCATCTTCATATACGGCACATAACTTCTTATGTGCTTGCGATGCGTTCTTGCCTTTTCGAAAGTAATACAATAAAATGTGTCGGAAGTGCACGTCCTGTTCTTTCATTTTTAAATTGGGATGAAAACAAAACTAAAGAACTAAACAAAAAAATTTTTTACTAATTATCCTAGAAGCCCATTCAGTAAGAAAAAAATATTTATTTATTTATTTATTTCAAATGGCAGGCGTTTTGATAGCTATCATTAGCCATTTAGTTGACTTCGGGCTTCACAGAGGGAAGGTTAATCAAAATAGAAGAAAGTCAAGGGGTGGGGAACAGAAGAGCGATTCACAGATGTGAAAGAGCCAGCCAAACACAAATATAGAGAAAAAGGTAAGATGAGTACTGTGAAAGGGGTCGAATATGACAAGCAGTCGGGCCATGGTAGTTTGAAGTCGGAAGTCAGCTGCCGGTTAATAAACTTTTTTGCCGTATGAGTATACGTTGCCCAGGGTGCACCACGTGGAGGTAAGTCTATCGCACACCCCGTAAGGAAAAAAAATATAGGTTAGATGCTCTGGCCACGTTAACAAAACAAAGAAAGTATAGAGTGAATCCGTCAACAAAAACGGCAATGACTTAGTTGCCAACCCAATAGAATTGAATTAATTTGGTCAACGTGTATTTGCATTGACTTTGGTGACAAACTGATGTGATTAACTATGGTTAAAAAGAGAGGATGTAGAATGTGTCTTCAGCCTGCTTTCCATCTATTCAAGTTTTTGTGCTACGGACACTTCCGCTAGTGAATTTTGGACACGCTAAATTTGCATCTTAAATTTTGAATTTAAGGTATTTAATACTGTCAATTAACTGAGTAACTTTAAAAGAATTTGAAGTAAAAACTGCTATTTCTATTAATGAAGAGCTAAAATACTAACCCACTAGTTTATATCTATAATTGTAGAATCGGGGTGTGCGATAGACTTACCTGCACGTGATGCACCCTGGGCAACGTATACTCATACGGCAAAAAAGTATGTAAACCGACAGTTGACTTCTGACTT